CTTGAAGAGCGGTACCCTTTAAAAGCTGCAATGCAAGCAGCTGAACTGATACTGCGTTGTTTGGAATTTGACCTGAAAATTCGACCATCCATGGCAGAAGTTTCGGAGATCTTAATAAAGATAAAGGATGTGAAGGAGAAGCCCAATAAGAGCAAAAGTAGTTGCTCCGATGGAAGTTATGCAAGGAGACAGGAAGAACGTTACCGTCATCAATCTCCACTTCAGCCCAGACATGGTGGCACTGGTTACAAGGTTCGAGCCTTCTCCTCAGCTTAGATCGGTTCAGGTCAATGGATGGTGCACCCTGGCAGTTATATATATTTCGTTACTCACGTCTAGTTTTGCTCTTTTATTTTGGAACTCTGAAGGTGTAACCCCTCCATCTGCTGCATGTTTATTAACTGTGTTGTAGAGGTCCAAACTTGTGTTAAATTTATTCACTCGGCCCAGGTGCCTTGTTATTTTGCATTATGATTTTTTTTTTTCCTGAGTTGGACTCTACCGAACCAAAATGACTCGCCCTGTTATTTTGCATTGTGATTTATTTTATTTTATTTTCTGAATTGGACTCTACCGAACCAAAATGACTCGCCTTGTTATTTTGCATTGTGATTTTTTTAATTTTATTTTCTGAGTTGGACTCTACAGAGCCGAAATGACTCGAGATTCAATTCGGTTTGTTAATTTTTTAACTGGACCGAGATAAAAACCAAATAATTTGTCATCTTCTTCGAACCCGGCCTATTTATCCAAATAATTCTGACAAAGTTAATTTGCTCCTTGAAAAAGCTTGGAAAGCAGAGAACACAATGATTCCCGAGTCTCAGATGACAAGAGTTCTGAATTCCAAGTACAGGATAAGAATGAAAGGCTCTTGTAGTGGACAGGACATAATTAGGCCTAGCTTTACAGATTAACTACAGTTCATGTCAGCCCAGCATCGTCTAAACTATCATCGGCAGTGGCAATGTTATGCTTAGGAGTTATGGGCCATCTTTGCTGGAGCCCTTGATGCTTCCCTGGCCAGGGAGTTGAGCTATTCATAATTCTGAGCTTGAAAGATTGTGGAACGAGTGCCTTGTTGTGGTCCATGCCTGATGGAGAGACATTGCTAGCTAGCATAGATCAATACACTGGAAAGATGGTAGCTAGAGCTTGACCCATGAAAATGCTAATGCTAAGGTCGGTGTGTTGCTTTCAGGCTCCCGCGAAGTCATTTCCAGCCACGAGGAACCCCCCGATCGACAAGTCAAGTGGATAGTGATGTTTGTTTGCTGACACCCTTGGCTGTGGTTAATGATGTTTGCTTACACTCTTGACCTCTTGAGTTTAAATTTTGAAAGCATAATCTAGGAAAGCTCATTTCCTAAATGCGCCTTGCTTATAAATGTAGAAGATGTTTGGCTTAACTTCATAGCTTGCCCTTGTTTTTGTCTTCAGTTGTTAATTTCACTCACGTGTTTCCATTACAGTTAGTGTGATTCTGTGTTATTTAATCCTAGTTAATTAAAAACAATGATTTAAATCTATGTAAATCATATACTAGTTTTGAGTGCACGTGTTTCCATTACAGTTAGTGTGATTTTGTGTTATTTAATCCTAGTTAATTAAAAACAATGATTTAAATCTATGTAAATTATATACTAGTTTTGAGTGATTATTATTGTTAAAGACATAAAGTTTATTTCCGAGTTCTATAAACACAATGAGAAACGGGGGGCACATGCGAATCGATTTTCTTATCAGTTTTATTTATTTTTTATTTTTAAAAAAATATTATCTCATATGTATCATTCATTAATATATCCATATTTAATTTAAATCAATTTTAGTAATTAACTTTAGTTAACAGGATGATATTAATTACATTGGAAGTATATGAGCCTAATTGCTAGCTAAAAATAAATAAAGGGGCAAACTAAAGGATTAGGTCAAGATATTTCCTTAAGATTTAAATTTGAAAATCTAATTTTAGTAAACATTTAAATTTGATATAGAGGATACTCTTGATCTAAAAAAAACTGGGGGAGCTGTTATGGGTAGGCCTGGGCCTTAGGTCGCACGCCCAAATAAAGTGGTGACTGTTTAATTCACTTTAAGCTGTAAAATCTATAGTTTGCATGCACATAAATATGCTATGTAAGTTAGTGCTAGGATTAATTAGCATAACACCCATGCTTCTCTTCTACACGTGAGACCTCAAGTTGACTCATATGATATGATTTGATTCCAAGCTAATTACTAATAATTAAACACAGTAATCATAGTTAATTAGAACTAGAAGCATGATTCCACATGCGGCACGCTCTCCATTGCTGGCCAACCTTTCCTTCTTCCTTTTTTAATCTAAGAGGGCAGTGCTCTCTTTCTCATGATGCTTAGGGTGTATAAAAGGGATCTTCGTAATCTTCTTTCTTAGTGGGGTGGTGACTGCGGTGGACCCTTTCGTCGGCGCCATTCCATGCTAATCATGACTACATGACGAAGAAGAACCCATAATTTTCATTTTATTTTCTTTCTTTTTCCACGCCAATGTTATTAAAACCCTTTTTGATTATATTTTCTTTTTTTCAAACTAGAGTTATTAAACTCAACCGATCACAAGTTAATTTTTTAATTTAATGATCTATTTTTTAGCTCAAATTAAATTATATAAAAATTTATTATACATAGTTTGGTTAACTTACAATGCTAACTTTTTAAGTACTAATTCTTTAATACAATCTAGTTAATCTGATTAAAATTTAACTTGATGTTTTTATAAAAATTAAAATGATAATTATTTTAAAAAATATATTAAAATAATATTTTTTAACATAGATTAACCCTTTCAATCTTGGTCTAAGTATTCGAGGTAGCCGGTTTAATAACTTTATTCTAGACACTGAGTTTTTGCTATATATATCTTCATCTTTGACTATAAGAGAAAATATTATGGAGGTTTTTATAATTGTTTAGGTTCAGATTTTCTGAAGGCTAGTCCAAGAAAAGATGTGCAGTTCATTGAATCTTGTCCTTAATTTGATTGAAAGCACTGTATCGAGAAAAATTAACGTTAATTATTCAATTTTGCCTTTGTAAATATTTTGG